CAGTTGCTTTTTTTCCTTTATCATTTTATGGAGATAACACTAGTTGATATGAGTAAATCTGACATTTCTAGTAAAGCAAGAAAGGTTAAATTTAGACATTTTGAAATAGATATTTATAGAAGAAACATTCGTATACTGGATTTTAAGCTAATTGATTCAAGGAAAGACACATCAAGGGAAGAAAGTCAATTAATCAATTCCGGAATCCGTTGAAAGAGAACTGCCCAGCGTCCAGAAAGAAAATACTCACAACTTCTTTCATTTGGTAATAAATAACTGTTGTTTACATTTTATGTTATACATCGTTTCAAGTCCGTTTTTTTGTTGTTGTTTGTTTGCTTACATTCGATTACTTTAGTTAAATTCGGGATTACTTCGTACTTTATCCTGCCGATCTTTCCGTTATAAAGCTGACCTACCTAATACTGTTTTGGGAAGATCAGTTTAACATGAAAATACCACACCCATAGGCAAGAATTAGTTCTATTTTATACTCTTCTTTTCTCTGGTTTGATGCATTGCAACCCGTAGTTTGTCATTTACATGCCATGTCAACCTTCACTTGCAAATCAATATTGTTCACGTCAGTGGTGTTATCATAAGAAAGAGGACTACCGTTCTGAAGCTGATAAGGGAGATTCCAGGGCAACAACTGAAATTTTCTAGACCAGAAAGGAGCCAATAATCGCCATATGCAACCTACTTTGAGAAACAATAAGAAAAATGTTGAATGAGTGGTGAGATGTAGAACTGCCTTGAGAACCTGATCACCTCCATCAGCTCAGAGCCTTACAGATCTGTTTTGTTCAGTATCAGTATCAGCAGGAAATTATTAATGGTATAGTTGTTCACAGAAAGAAAAAACGTCAATCACAGTTCATTATTTCATTATTATCCTCTTCTGTGTATGAAACTCTTGCCAACCAAATTCCAACTGTATGTGTTATGTTTATAGGTAAATAGGTTAAATAAATTGTCTATTTCAACAATGCATTGAGTCTATATGTTATGACTCTGTTGGTTACCTATCTACGGTGCTAATACGTGTTGATTCAATGTATAGTCAAAAACATTGTAGATAACGTGTAAATGCGCTTCTTCATGATTGGAGCGGTTTTACCTATGAAGTTTGAAAAACGGCCCCCAAGATGGAGTATAACTGATCTTACCCTAAACGAAACTGTTGATCTAAGGCACTGTATCGACATCATGTGATTGAAAACCATGTTAACATTAGCATGTTTGGCAATGCATTGAACCAATACTTTATAGCCCTAGTGGTTACTATAGTTGTCTACCATTGTGTTTGTGCACAGGGTCACATGAACAAGAGTTACATATAATTCGCTCTCATGGCAGCACGTCATAACTGGTGATACACAGGAGTGACCGTTGTTTGAAATCAACAAAGTGAAACTTCCGGAACTATTTCACATGTAACTGTAAAAAAAAAAATCTAAGTACTTACCTTAGATCACAGTTATTAAAAAGCCAAAAATTAAAAAGGCACACACACACTCACCAAAAATATTTCGCCCTCGTGACAGCTTTTCTTGCGTGCGGGCTACGTAGTAACTGAAACATTTTATTTTCAACCTGTAACATCTAAAATCTATAGGGAAAGTGGGATAAGACGGCCACTTTAACTTTGAACGCGGTTTTTACTAAGATGAATTTCATGAAAAAAGCTAAATTTTATAAAATGAATACTATTGAAAATGTTATTTTTAATTAAATAAGATGAAA